AACTTTGAGAAAATGGTTGACCTGATGAAGTTAACCAAATCGGAATCTACAAATAGTGTGAACATGAACAATAGACCTAAGTGTTTTTACTGTCATAAACCTGGACACAGGATCGCTGATTGTTATTCAAGGAAGCGTGCCGAAGAGCGAGATAAAGCAGCACAAGAGAGATCTAGCCAGATTGCTACCGTTGAATTTCTATCTCTGCAGGGAAATGGTGTTCAGTCTTCCAAGGACACTCAGAAGATAGTGGCACATGGCATAGTTTGCGACACCAATGTTTCATTTTTAGTTGACTCTGGAGCCGCTAGCACAATCATAAGTTCAAAGGTCTACCAGAATATACCTAAATGCAAAAGGCCCCAGCTTAAGCCGCCTAAGAAGACCATTTTGCAAGCAGGTGGGCAACTCTTGCATATGAATGGTGTTATACCAGTTAGCTTGAAAATTGACGGGCATGTACAGAACTTGGAGGTGGTTGTGGCTGATATTCAATTTGAGGGAATTTTGGGCACAGACTTCCTAGCTGCCTCTGGAGCTGTATTGAACTATAGCCAGTGTAAAATGACTTTTGAACCAGAGAATCCGAGATGTTTTGATGATCACCAAGTAGATTCAGGAGTGCCTAAAAATGGAGAGAATGAAGTAAAACACAGACAGGGAGGTCGACATGAAAAATTAAGGCTGAGAGACAGATCACCACAACCCAAGATATCATCTAAGAGGACAGCTGCAGATCGAACTGATTTTTCCCGCTTCAGAGGGCAGAGGTGTGACATGGACAAGAGAACGTCTCCAGCTAAGGCACCTCTATCCAAAATTTATAGAATGAGACATTGGAGGACTCCACCCAGACGTGACTTGGATGGTGATTGCAGGGATCGTTGTTATTCCCCTACAGTGAAGCACTAACTTGAAAGTTGAGCATTTAGCATGAGTATAATTTTGTATTCAAAATTAACAAGTAGCTCAGTAGCTGAACAGTTTTTTGTACATAGTATTGTATTAAGTAGATAGTTATATATTTAGTGTTAAGTTGGAGATTCCAGAGTTAAATAAGTTTAAGTTACAAAACTTTCATTGTGCATTGTAGTTGCAGCTAGTTAACCCCGGGGTTATACACATTTTGTAAGTTTGTGTTATAGCTAGTTAGGAAAAATTTGCTATCTTTTGTGCACTTAGGCTTGGTGTTGTTAACACCAAAATCATTGGATGGGAGGAGTGTAACAAATTTTTACTTTTCAAATTTTCGATTATTTGTAGTCTAGTTCCATTTTATCAGTTTTCTTACAGTTAACTTAGTGAGAAAGCGTTTTCCAGTTTGGTTCATAAGTAGTATACTTACATGAATGTTTGTGACACTAAAGGAGTAGGCAGAATCATGTAAACTGCACATTTTTGTGAGATTTCTTTTTGCTTTCATTTGTTTAAGAGCTATCTTGACCTACATTCAATTACTAGTTTTTTTCTGTCAATTTCGGCATGATAATAACCCATGAAGATTGGTTTGTTATATTTATTTAGTTTATACATTTATCTAGTTAATTATATACCAAACATGCATTAATGGTACATTAGATAGCACAGATTGTGAGTTCTAAATGAAGCCAGTTATTTTGCACTATTCATATCCTGATTGCGTCATAGTAATTGTACACCAGTCTTGTCCTGTCCAGGGGCCTAGGTATTGCATCAGCCCATTAATCACTTGTTAGGTTCGTGTGCAAAACCTAGTACATGTTACATACATGTCTGGGGTATAAATAGAGACAACCAGGTGACTCAGCAGGCACTTTCTTGCTGGAACTGAGAGAGGACTGACCTGTGTGCCTCCAGGGATTGATGCTTGATGGACTTAGGCTAATTCTACACATCTATTGATGGACTTAGAAGATTTTCATCTCACATATTGAGGGACTTAGATGATTTTACCCTGGTATACTTAGAGGATCTTAGGCAGATTCTACATATACTGAGAGGCACTTTCTTGCTGGAACTGAGAGAGGACTGACCTGTGTGCCTCCAGGGATTGATGCTTGGTGGACTTAGGCTAATTCTACACATCTATTGATGGACTTAGAAGATTTTCATCTCACATATTGAGGGACTTAGATGATTTTACCCTGATGTACTTAGAGGATCTTAGGCAGATTCGACATACCCGTTGAGGGACTTTGTGAGGATATACTTAGAGGATCTTAGGCAGATTCGATATACCCGTTGAGGGACTTTGTGAGGATATACTTAGAGGATCTTAGGCAGATTCGACATACCCGTTGAGGGACTAAGAGGATATTACCCTGGTATACTTAGAGGATCTTAGGCAGATTCGACATACCCATTGAGGGACTTAGAGGATATTACCCTGGTATACTTAGAGGATCTTAGGCAGATTCGACATACCCATTGAGGGACTTAGAGGATTTTATCCTGGTATACTTAGAGGATCTTAGGCAGATTCGACATACCCGTTGAGGGACTTTGAGGATATACTTAGAGGATCTTAGGCAGATTCGACATACCCGTTGAGGGACTTTGAGGATATACTGAGAGGATCTTAGGCAGATTCTACATATACTGGGAGGCACGTACACAACTTTTGATGAGAAGGAACCTCCACGCACCTCTAGAGATTGATGCCTCAGGGACTTAGACAAATTCTGCATACCATTTGATGGACTTAGAGAATTTTATTACCTTGAGGGACTTAGATAAATTCTGCATACCATTTGATGGACTTAAAGGATTTTTCGGTCGATACACTTAGAAGATATTACCTTGAGGGACTTAGCCAATATTCACCATAGTTGCCTGGAGTTTGATGCCCAGAGGAACTTAGGAATATTCACGCATATATTGAGGGACTTAGCCAAAAGTTGTCTGAAGTTTGATGCCCAGAGGAACTTAGGAATATTTACGTATATATTGAGGGACTTAGCCAATGATCACCATAGTTGCCTGGAGTTTGATGCCCAGAGGAACTTAGGAATATTCACGTATATATTGAGGGACTTCGCCAATATTCACCATAGTTGCCTGGAGTTTGATGCCCAGAGGAACTTAGGAATATTCACGCATATATTGAGGGACTTAGCCAAAAGTTGTCTGAAGTTTGATGCCCAGAGGAACTTAGGAATATTTATGTATATATTGAGGGACTTAGCCAATATTCCCCAAAGTTGTCTGAAGTTTGATGCCCAGAGGAACTTAGGAATATTCACGTATATATTGAGGGACTTAGCCAATATTCCCCAAAGTTGTCTGAAGTTTGATGCCCAGAGGAACTTAGGAATATTCACGTATATATTGAGGGACTTAGCCAATATTCCCCAAAGTTGTCTGAAGTTTGATGCCCAGAGGAACTTAGGAATATTTACGTATATATTGAGGGACTTAGCCAATATTCACCATAGTTGCCTGGAGTTTGATGCCCAGAGGAACTTAGGAATATTCACGTATATATTGAGGGACTTAGCCAATATTCCCCAAAGTTGTCTGAAGTTTGATGCCAGAGGAACTTAGGAATATTCACGTATATATTTAGGGACTTAGCCAATATTCCCCAAAGTTGTCTGGAGTTTGATGCCCAGAGGAACTTAAGGAATATTTACTCATATATTGAGGGACTTAGCCAATATTCACCAGAGTTGCCTGAAGTCTGATAGACTTAGAATTTTCACAGCTCATTTGATGAACTTAGATTATATCTTCAACTTGGTGGACTTAGAATATTCATCGATAATCTGAAGAACTTAGCAGATTTCATACATCTTCAGTCTGATAGACTTAGAATATTCACAGCTCATTTGATGAACTTAGATTATATCTTCAACTTGGTGGACTTAGAATATTAATCGATAATCTGAAGAACTTAGCAGATTTCATACATCTTCAGTCTGATAGACTTAGAATATTCACAGCTCATTTGGTGAACTTAGATTATATCTTCAACTTGGTGGACTTAGAATATTCATCGATAATCTGAAGAACTTAGCAGATTTCATACATCTTCAGTCTGATAGACTTAGAATATTCACAGCTCATTTGATGAACTTAGATTATATCTTCAACTTGGTGGACTTAGAATATTCATCGTTAATCTGAAGAACTTAGCAGATTCCATACATCTTCAGTCCGATAGACTTAGAATATTCACAGCTCATTTGATGAACTTAGATTCTATCTTCAACTTGGTGGACTTAGAATATTCATCGATAATCTGAAGTACTTAGCAGATTCCGTACTTCTTCAGTTTGATAGACTTAGAATATTCACAGCTCATTTGATGAACTTATTATATCGTCAACTTGGTGGACTTAGAATATTCATCACCTTGAAGGACTTAGAATATGCATCGCTCATCTGATGAAAAACTACATTAGTGATGAACACTTTTATATATATATAAATATACAAGTATTATTACATGAAGGACTTATAATTAGCACCTCTGAAACTGAAGCTTATTATCGATTTGTGTTGTAATATTTTGAGGCGGATGAAGCCAGAATATATGTTGTTAAGCTTTCATTAACTATTGTGTCTCTTTATTTTCACACGTGCATTTAATGTGTACAACGTATCCCCAAAGTGACCTAGTCTAAAATAAAAACACCCACACTACCCAAATTAGGCTAGCCGTTACAATTGCTTTGACTGAATTTTGAATATTTAATGGCGTAAATCAAGATTTTTTCTACTCGCATCTAGTCTATTGCACTTCTGAAATTAAACTTCCAAAAAACATATTTTATCAAATCACTCATTTGATTTGAACATTTCATGATGGAAACAACGAAGCTTTTGATATCAAAAAATGAAAAATAATCAGTAATATGTTTGGAGAAAATTTAAAAACAGAGTTCATTAGCTGTGGGCTCAATTCAACATCTTCAACATTTTCCCAAACATATTATAATGTTTTGAACTAACCACTGAGACACTTTAAACGTTTGTATGTTTTCTTATTTATTTAGATATGTCATTTAATGTGTTCTCACCTGCTGTCCAGACCCTGAGCCATATTTCACATCATGGGAATGTAGACGTATACTGTGCCATGGGTTATACAGTTTTAGTACAGATCCACATGTAACATAATCATAATCAAATCCTGAAAAGTAAAATAGATAAGAATAGTTATTTATATTAAACCTCTACCCCATAGATGGCGTTCAGCGTTTCTTTGAAATTTTTGCCTAGAGATGTGTTAGAGGATGTGAAACCCAGTAACGAAAGAAACCGCAAGTACCTTTTTAATTCCCCGATTGGCCATTTGCCCTTTGGATCCCACGTCTTTGAAACTATTTCTAACTCTATATAAATTTAAGCCAATATTACATTTACCAGGAAGGCACAAATGGTAAGACAAAAATATCCTACCAACTTGAACCTGAAGCTATATGCACTATTTGGGGGTTTCATTAGTAGCACGCAACAGGCATTTTCACCAGTTGTTTTTCACAAAATTGCCTGTTGTTTTAAGGTCTTTTCAACTTTTCCATGTTAAATTTTTGATTTTCATTAATTTTGCCTGTTGTTTTCATTTATTTAGCCTGTTGAGAGAAATTCTCATGACACCCCTGCTAATGTACTTTGTATTTTATTGTAGGTCCAACGTCTAACCAGTCACGCCATCCTGGCACGTGTAATGGCTTCATCTAATTACATGTATAAGAGTTTTAATAAATAGTTTCAAAGGCATGTGATTCAAAGGTTCAAGACTCATTCATGATGTTTCAAGGTCCCTGGTGCCTGCCAGAACAAAAAGATATACATGCACAGTGACAATTTACTAGTATTAGTTGTAATAACAAGTTCTGAGATATTCTGAGAATCTAACAAAATACATCTATCCAGCCGACAAACAAGCTACACTCGTATGACCAATCGCCCATACAAATGCATCGCTTAAACATTTTCCATTCGCGTTTTTGTTGTGAAAAAGTATAGGCCCAGGCATATAAGTCACTAGTCTGGCCTTATTTAAAATATGGCAGTTCGGCATGGGATCCATAATTCCGACAAAAAGATACTGAACAGGTACAGAGAAGGGTAGCCAAGTTTATAACCAAACGGCACTCAAGGGAACCAGCTACATCACCAAAGCTCTTCAAGACCTCCAATGGTAGTCACTGAAGGAGCATAGAGAGGCTGCTAGAGTTTTCCTTTTTTACAAAGGAAAGCAAAACCTAGCAGCCATCGACGTGCCTCCATACTTCCACCAACAGAGCAATACCAACATTAGGTTAACTAACACAAAGTACATACAACCATCAACTAGAAACAATGCATACAAATATAGCTATTTCCCAAGAACAATAGCTAAATGGAACACTCTACTCTGACATCTTAGATTGTGACAGTCTAAGTAGATTTAATTCATCATACTATGCCCTTGTCAATAAGTGCAATTAAATAGGTGTGTTTTTTAATATAAACATCGAGTGAATGTTTTTTCGACCCGTTTCCAATATGGCGGTTTACTAGGAGCGAGATACGTAACGAACGAAATGAATTTTGAGAATGAGTTACTAAGTTAGGTTCGGACAACCTCGGAGATTTAAGAAAATGTCAGACCAGAAAACGCCATATTGGAAATTGGCAGAAAAAACATTCACTCGACTAACAATTACAAGTCTTGATCGAAAAGGAAGTACTTCAGCGCTCCAATACTTGCACCGAAGGATGATAATGATGCATGACATAGTTAGAGAACAAAAGTAAGCTGCTGATCGACTTAATTCGTGTTTCAAAGGTCACTATTATCCAAAGGTCACTATCATCCAGCTGTCCATTTCTCCGTTCGAGAGCCATAAGTTTCAAAATCTAACATGGCTCTCGAAGTGAGTGACATTTATCGAATTCTACGACCACTTTAGATTGAGGTCGTAGGCGCGTATAATTGGTCAGTCAATGTTTTTACAAAGTTGGAGAAAATACTACGCATTGCACACCTAAATGACCTACCTCGATACATTCCTTAGTATTTTAGAATTCTTTTTATGTAGTTGAATCGCCAATTTTATGGGTTTATCGGCAGAACGAAGAGGTTTTCGTTTTTGATAGCAATATTTGCGTGTAATATTTAACTTATTTCAACCGTCAAATTCCTCCATTCAGTTCCTGGCATGCACCAGTCATAAGGTAAATCCCTGGGGAATTCCCCTTCCGACATTTTGAAAATTGCTGATATATTTCCGATGTAAAAACTAAAATCTCTTCGTTCTGCCGATAAACCCATACAATTGGCGATCTAACAACATAAAAAGAATTCTAAAATACTAAGGAATGTATCGAGGTAGGTCATTTAGGTGTGCAATGCGTAGTATTTTCTCCAACTTTGTAAAAACATTGACTGACCAATTATACGTGCGTACGACCACAATCTAAAGGGGTCGTAGGATGCAATAAAGTGACATTAGTCTACTCTACATGTAGCATATCCCCGGGGCCTATCATAAGCCTAATAGACCTAGGACACGGTAGTTGGAAGTTCAATAATAATTAAGAAGATGATAATTTGAAAATATAGAGAATATAGAGAAGGATTTGGAGTGTGGACCTAAATAAGTGTAGCCTATTATCCATTTGAAAATCATCAATATTTTTTATTTAAAAATTCCACACTTGTAGTTTTGATGATAACATGAAGGAAATTCTGATCACTGTGATCTAAGAGTAGCCCGGGGACTAGCAGGCTAGAAAGACATGTTGGCATGAATTTTACGAAAAAAAAAATAATTGTAAAAAAAATAGTTTGCTTTGTAAAGTACCTTTAGTTCAGCTAAGCTACATACGTTTATTCATATATTTTAGATCGACAGTATATCCATTATATTCAAGAATGTATACTCACTTTGGGCCGATATAAATTCAAGAATAGCACAAAAAACAACAAAAACTTGAGAACATTTCACAAATTGAGAGAGCTCCATGTTTCCATTCAACCAATCAGATCACGGGAAGTGTCCTCTTTTAGTTTTAAGTATTGACCAGAGATGGCGTAAGAATCAGTGTCAAGGTCGAAATGATTCACTTTCGTTTTGTACACACAACTGCCTCGGGACAATCCCGGGGGGACAATATCAACCAGCTATTCATGGGGAGCCATAATCCATGAGGGACCATAATTTCTTTCACACCGGTATGATCTCGGTATGATGGCATTGTATAAAAAAAACTCCTACCTACGTACCTGGGACATGGTACAGTCTTTCACTGGCGGATCTGGGGGGGGGGGGGGGGGTAACCAAACCCGTCTGGCCCAGTTATCTACTCTCGATATCGTAGATCTACGACGTCAGGAGTAGATAACTGGGCCAGACGGGTTTGGTTGGGGGGGGGGGAGAGGGGCCCCTTTGGGTGGGCCCAGAAGAAAAACTTGGGGCCAAAACAAATTTTGGGCTAAAAAGGCCTCAAGGCCCCAAATAGTTGGCCTTTTTGGTAATTACTAGATCTTTTAATGCCTTATATTTTAATTTTAGGGTACATTTTGAAGAAAATGGATTTCAAACTTTTTTCTCAGACCTGATTTGTGCTCCACCTCCCTTGATGATTTCCAGACGTCCGCCCCTGATCTTTGAAGGGTTCAATTTTAACAGATAGGATAACACCGGCGGCTTGTAGGATAGCCTTTTGTTGAACCAGAATATCTTTTGCAATCCGGGTTTGCAATTGACCCTATATCATGGAGGAGGTAATGAGGAAAATATGGCCCGTTATAAGGGTTCACTTTTTGGACCACCCTGTATTATTTAAAAAAGCTGTTATAAACAAGACTATATGCTTGCGATTTCAGAAGGAACTTGCTCATTGTATTATATCATTAAATTCGCAATAGTGTTCAACCGAACAACACAGCTTTATTGTCGCATACATACAAACAATATAATAAAATCCTACGGTTGTGCCCGAAAAACTATGTTACGAGGGTTGATCCAAAAGTTCTCCACCGTTTTATCTAAAAAAAAAAAAAATTCTTAGTGGTGGATTTTGTTCATACTTGGTCAGGAGCAACATGTATATGATAGCTTTGTATTGTATTAATATCATTGAAAAAACATAATATTTACTATGTCATTTGGTTACCATAGTAACAGGACAACGAGGTAGGCGGAGCTGAATAAAATCACTGTTTATTACGAAGCTCTCTTTTCAGAAGTGAAGTCAAACGAATGCAAAGGGTATTGTATATTAGATTTTCTTTTGATTTTCTAAAGATAATTGACGAAGGGGTTCTCAGATTCCTGGTCATATGGGGCAACTTTGCCCCCCCCTCTGACCGTTTGTGTAGGTAAAATGCCCCTTAACTGTTAAACATTTAACAGCTAAGGGGCATTTTACCTACACGTGGTTAAAACTGCTTCAAAATGATCAATGAAAGTGTGAAAAGTGTTTTCTGTTCAAATAGTGTTCCATTTGTCATATGGTAAGGTAAACTTATATCTCTATAGCCTGTTGCAGGGGTTCACTTTTTGGACCACCCTGTAGAAGACGAGCAGTTTTAGTTGATGGAGGATCATCAACCTGGACTAACGCCTCAGGGGGTTCACTGTGTACAAAATTTGGTGGGGGATCTCGGCTGAACCCTCAGATATCAATATCCCATACCAAAATGTCAAATTTATCCATGACCATTCCCATACCAGAAAGTGGGTCCATTGCTATACCAAATGTCAAAAAAAGGTACCAAACTATATCAAGTTCATCTATAAACAGTGACAATAAAGATCAGCTTCAGGAAGACATTTAACATTTTCCCCCCATTTTTTCCTCAATTACAATAGGTCGAAGATTGATGATAAATCTGATGAATTTTTGAAAATCGACATTCCCGTGTAAATCAATGGGAAATGTTAGGTTTGCTGCAAGTCACATGAAAGAATATTCATCCATCCAAGTTCTTGCAAAAATACAAGTTAGGTAGTCAATTGAATTTGCTAATTTTGTTTTATAAAAAAATGATTCGTTTCTTCAGGTTTAAAAAAGGTCTTCAAAGTCAAAATTATTTTTCAAAAAACTCCTACCATTGAAATAACACGCGAGGAGAAAAACGATTTTCAAAAATGACTTTGAAGCTCTGTAACTTTAGTATTCAAAAAGTAAACTGAACATTTTCCCTCACTAAATGCCTCTATGTCAAAAGTGTCAATGTGTATGCAGTACTGCAGCAGCATTCATCCATCATTTGAACATCAAATAAACAAATATGTTAACATCAAGGTATCATGTGTCATAGAAATAAGGGTCCCATCAAAATCAATAATTCACTAATCCATACATAGATTGGTTAAAAATTTACAATATCTACATGACCTGGTTATCGAGACGGTAGCGTTGACGTGTGTAAAGACACTCCACCGCATTGAATATTTGTTCAGGGCATATGTTACACTTTAAGGTCTCTAAGTATGCGTTTTCTTCAGAGTGTTCTTGTGGTGCTACACGCTGGTAAGATACCAAAGATCAATATACTGTAACGGAATTTTAAATGTAAAATTTTTGATTGTTAATTAAGTGCTGTGTTTTTGTATATAAGGCAATTATTACACTTGGAAAGTAATTTCCTATTGAGATTATTAAGATTTATAAATGTAGTATCATTTGCAGCACTTAGGTTGTACTTACAGAGGTGAAATAGTTCACATGTTTTATTTATTTGATCACAATTTTGTTTATGTTGATCGGGCAGTCTTATCTGGCAGTCTAATTTGTAGTTGATCGGTAGTCTAACATGACAACTTTATTATTTTACTTCCTGCTTTTGATTCGATTGAATCGAAGGAAAATTAGACTAGATAGTGATTAATTACTGTTATATTTCTTGAGTCAATATTATAATCTTGCTGTATGATCAATATTGAAGCGAAATATGGCGTAAGTAAGCTGTAATTCACAGTTGAAATCTTGTACGAAAATCGATGACGTCATCGGGCCTATATAAGTATCTCGCTGTTGAAGGATCGTGAGTGCGATGCCAGATGTTGTCGAGGAAGGATCTCCAGAGCGGAATTTCGGGAAACAGCTAAAATCTTCTAAGTTTTATAGAACTTAGTTGATTTTGTGGTCTTGAAGCTATACGTTTGCAGTATACACATGAAGATAGAAGCTGTACCTTAGTAGAATACATCTGATGAACCAAGCTATACGTTTGCAGTATACAAGGGCAGATTGAGGAAACTAAGTGTGCGAAACTTAGTTTATTTTGGAACTTGGATTTTTGGGAAACTTTGATGTAGCTAAGTGAGAGGAACTTAGTTTATTTATCGCACTGGAAGTAAGGGAGATCTACAAGACTGGACAAAACTTCGACAGGGTGAAGCTATCCCCAGCGCAAAGCATTAGACGTATTGTCCAGCCTTCATAGACTGAGAGGAAATGCTGACATAACTTGTGTTTGAGAAACAAGCTATTTTGATCATCAAGGAACTTAGACGATTTACAACATTATTGGACTTAGTCAGTATTTGGTGAAACATTATTTTGGACTTTGTTATTTTTGGAGATAGAAATATTTAACTTAGAATATTTTAACATCAGTATAACTTAGTATGAAATTAACTTAGTCAATATTTGGTGAAATATTATTTTGGACTTTGTTGTTTTTGGAAAGAGAAATATTGAACTTAGAATATTTTAATATCAGTAGCACTTAACATTAAATGAACTTAGTCATTTTAGAGGTCAAATATTTCACTTGTTATCTTTTTGCATATGTTGTTGTGTGCATGCTATATTTGTAGGTAGCCTGATTATTTAATTGTGAAGGAAGTAGGCTACATAGACTTAACAGTTGATGCCGTGTTTTAGATGTCCTTGGACTTGGTAGTTTGAAGATTGTGATAGTTTGACTTATACATCTACAGAGAAGAGGTTCTGGGACTAAGCAGTTTATTCAACGAGATATTTTGACTTTGATGATCTTGTGTCATTGAAGTTAGAATATACATCTACATTGAAGAGGCTCCAGGACTTAGCAGTTTATTCAACGAGATATTTTGACTTTGATGATTTTTGGTCATTGAAGTTAGAATATACATCTACATTGAAGAGGCTCCAGGACTTAGCAGTTTATTCAACGAGATATTTTGACTTTGATGATTTTGGGTCATTGAAGTTAGAATATACATCTATAGAGAGGACGTTCCAGGACTTAGCAGATTATCCAGCGAGATATTTTGACTTTGATGATTTTGTGTCATTGAAGTTAGAATATACATCTACAACACAGAGAGGAGGATCCAGGAGATAACCGTTCACAGAGCTGATAGTTTGACTTGGATTATTTCACATAATCAAAGTTGAACTATACTACAACACAGAGAGAAGGATCCAGGAGATAACCATTTACAGAGTTGATAGTTTGACTTAGATTATTTCACATAATCAAAGTTGAATTATACTACAACACATTGAGGAGGATCCAGGAGATAGCCATTTACCGAGCCGATAGTTGACTTGATGATTTCACATTATCAAAGCTGAATTATACTACAATACAGTGAAGAGGATCCAGGAGATTTACGTTTACGGAGCGATAGTTGACTTAGATGATTTCACATCATCAAATTTGAATCATACTACACTACATAGAGGAGGATCCAGGAGATTACTATTTCAGGTTCAAGTTACAAGTACAATACAAGACGTACAAGTATTACAACATATATGAACTTTTAATATTGGAGATACAACAGTGGTATATAGTGATCATCTACTTTAGTTTATATGGACTCTGGATATTGTGTTCTTAGTGATTATTATTAGCTTATATGGACTTTTGAGTTGTGAGTTTTGAGAGAGATAATAATATCGTAGCATTTTAACCTTCATACTTGACATTTAATGTACATCTTTATTTGGGCTTATAAACGCCACAATATACTGTTTTATATTTATATTTAATTGTATATGTCTGTTTAATTCTTTAGGGACAATCGCACATTTAACGTGTGCCGTGTAACTCACC